GGGGAAAACAACAGATAGAATGCCTCCCCGGAAACTACAGCAGATATAGATCAACGAAAAAGACATAGAAAAAGAGGAAGGGTAAGGAACAATATAGAAGAAAAGGAGGAGAAAAGGGAAGAGGATAAGGTCGGAAAAGAGACCAGGGCACTCCAGGTTCCCTGCGGGTCAGAAACATATGGCTACAGCAGGGAAAACAACAGATAGAATGCCTCCCCGGAAACTACAGCAGATATAGATCAATGAAAAAGAGGAGGAGAAAAGGGAATAGGATAAGGTCGGAAAAGAGACAAGGGCACTCCAGGTTCCCTGCGGGTCAGAAACATCTGGCTACAGTGAGGAAAACAACAGATAGAATGCCTCCCCGGAAACTACAGCAGATATAGATCAATGAAAAAAGACATAGAAGAAAAGGAAGAGCAATTCAGGAACAATGAAGAAGGAAAGGGAAGAGGATAAGATCGGAAAAGAGACAAGGGCACTCCAGGTTCCCTGCGGGTCAGAAACATATGGCTACAGCGGGGAAAACAACAGATAGAATGCCTCCCCGGAAACTACAGCAGATATAGATCAATGAAAAAAACATAGAAGAAAAGGAAGAGTAATTAAGGAACAATATAGAAGAAAAGGAGGAGAAAAGGGAAGAGGATAAGATCGGAAAAGAGACAAGGGCACTCCAGGTTCCCTGCGGGTCAGAAACATCTGGCTACAGTGGGGGAAACAACAGATAGAATGCCTCCCCGGAAACTACAGCAGATATAGATCAATGAAAACGACATAGAAGAAAAGAAAGGGTAAGGAACAATATAGAAGAAAAGGAGGAGAAAAGGGAAGAGGATAAGGTCGGAAAAGAGACAAGGGCACTCCAGGTTCCCTGCGGGTCAGAAACATATGGCTACAGTGGGGAAAACAACAGATAGAATGCCTTCTCGGAAACTACAGCAGATATAGATCAATGAAAAAGACATCGAAGAAAAGGAAGGGTAAGGAACAATAAAGAAGAAAAGGAGGAGAAAAGGGAAGAGGATAAGATCGGAAAAGAGACAAGGGCACTCCAGGTTCCCTGCGGGTCAGAAACATATGGCTACAGTGAGAAAACAACGGATAGAATGCCTCCCCGGAAACTACAGCAGATATAGATCAATGAAAAAGGCATAGAAGAAAAGGAAGGGTAAGGAACAATATAGAAGAAAAGGAGGAGAAAAGGGAAGAGGATAAGATCGGAAAAGAGACAAGGGCACTCCAGGTCCCTGCGGGTCAGAAACATATGGCTACAGTGGGGAAAACAACAGATAGAATGCCTCCCCGGAAACTACAGCAGATATAGATCAATGAAAAAGACATAGAAGAAATGGAAGGGTAAGGAACAATATAGAAGAAGAAGATGAGAAAAGGGAAGAGGATAAGGTCGGAAAAGAAACAAGGGCACTCCATGTTCCCTGCGGGTCAGAAACATATGGCTACAGCAGGGAAAACAACAGATAGAATGCCTCCCGGGAAACTACAGCAGATATAGATCAATGAAAAAGACATAGAAGAAAAGGAAGAGTAATTAAGGAACAATATAGAAGAAAAGGAGGAGAAAAGGGAAGAGGATAAGGTCGGAAAAGAGACAAGGGCACTCCAGGTTCCCTGCGGGTCAGAAACATATGGCTACAGTGGGGAAAACAACAGATAGAATGCCTCCCCGGAAACTACAGCAGATATAGATCAATGAAAAAGACATAGAAGAAAAGGAAGGGTAAGGAACAATAAAGAGGAAAAGGAGGAGAAAGGGGAAGAGGATAAGATCGGAAAAGAGACAAGGGCACCCCAGGTTCCCTGCGGGTCAGAAACATATGGCTACAATGGGGAAAACAGCAGATAGAATGCCTCCCCGGAAACTACAGCAGATATAGATCAATGAAAAAGACATAGAAGAAAAGGAAGGGTAAGGAACAATATAGAAGAAAAGGAGGAGAAAAGGGAAGAGGATAAGGTCGGAAAAGAGACAAGGGCACTCCAGGTTCCCTGCGGGTCAGAAACATATGGCTACAGCGGGGAAAACAACAGATAGAATGCCTCCCCGGAAACTACAGCAGATATAGATCAATGAAAAAGACATAGAAGAACAGGAAGGGTAAGGAACAATATAGAAGAAAAGGACGAGAAAAGGGAAGAGGATAAGGCTACAGCAGATATAGATCAATGAAAAAGACATAAGAAAAGGAAGGGTAAGGAACAATATAGAAGAAAAGGAGGAGAAACGGGAAGAGGATAAGGTCGGAAAAGAGACAAGGGCACTCCAGGTTCCCTGCGGGTCAGAAACATCTGGCTACAGTGCGGAGAACAACAGATAGAATGCCTCCCCGGAAACTACAGCAGATATAGACTCGATCAATGAAAAAGGCATAGAAGAAAAGGAAGGGTAAGGAACAATATAGAAGAAAAGGAGGAGAAAAGGGAAGAGGATAAGGTCGGAAAAGAGACAAGGGCACTCCAGGTTCCCTGCGGGTCAGAAACATATGGCTACAGCAGGGAAAACAACAGATAGAATGCCTCCCCGCAAACTACAGCAGATATAGATCAATGAAAAAAACATAGAAGAAAAGGAAGAGTAATTAAGGAACAATATAGAAGAAAAGGAGGAGAAAAGGGAAGAGGATAAGGTCGGAAAAGGACACGGGCACTCCAGGTTCCCTGTGGGTCAGAAACATATGGCTACAGCAGGGAAAACAACAGATAGAATGCCTCCCCGGAAACTACAGCAGATATAGATCAATGAAAAAGACATAGAAGAAAAGTAATTGAGGAACAATATAGAAGAAAAGGAGGAGAAAAGGGAAGAGGATAAGATCGGAAAAGAGACAAGGGCACTCCAGGTTCCCTGCGGGTCAGAAACATATGGCTACAGCGCGGAAAACAACAGATAGAATGCTTCCCCGGAAACTACAGCAGATATAGATCAATGAAAAAGACATAGAAGAAAAGGAAGAGTAAGGAACAATATAGAAGAAAAGAAGGAGAAAAGGGAAGAGGATAAGGTCGGAAAAGAGAGAAGGGCATTCCAGGTTCCCTGCGGGTCAGAAACATATGGCTACAGTGCGGAAAACAACGGATAGAATGCCTCCCCGGAAACTACAGCAGATATAGATCAATGAAAAAGACATAGAAGAAAAGGAAGGGTAAGGAACAATATAGAAGAAAAGGAGGAGAAAAGGGAAGAGGATAAGGTCGGAAAAGAGACAAGGGCACTCCAGGTTCCCTGCGGGTCAGAAACATCTGGCTACAGTGGGGATAAACAACAGATAAAATGCCACCCGGAAACTACAGCAGATATAGATCAATGAAAAAGACATAGAAGAAAAGGAAAGGTAAGGAACAATATAGAAGAAAAGGAGGAGAAAAGGGAAGAGGATAAGGCTACAGCAGATATAGATCAATGAAAAAGACATAGAAGAAAAGGAAGGGTAAGGAACAATATAGAAGAAAAGGAGGAGAAAAGGGAAGAGGATAAGGTCGGAAAAGAGACAAGGGCACTCCACGTTTCCTGCGGGTCAGAAATATATGGCTACAGTGGGGAAAACAACAAATAGAATGCCTCCCCGGAAACTACAGCAGATATAGGTCAATGAAAAAGATATAAAGAAAAGGAAGGGTAAGGAACCATATAGAAGAAAAGGAGGAGAAAAGGGAAGAGGACAAGATCGGAAAAGAGACAAGGGCACTCCAGGTTCCCTGCTGGTCAGAAACATTTGGCTACAGTGGGGAAAACAACAGATAGAATGCCTCCCCAGAAACTACAGCAGATATAGATCAATGAAAAAGGCATAGAAGGAAAGGAAGGGTAAGGAACAATATAGAAGAAAAGGAGGAGAAAAGGGAAGAGGATAAGGTCGGAAAAGAGACAAGGGCATTCCAGGTTCCCTGCGGGTCAGAAACATATGGCTACAGTGCGGAAAACAACGGATAGAATGCCTCCCCGGAAACTACAGCAGATATAGATCAATGAAAAAGACATAGAAGAAAAGGAAGGGTAAGGAACCATATAGAAGAAAAGGAGGAGAAAAGGGAAGAGGATAAGGTCGGAAAAGAGACAAGGGCACTCCAGGTTCCCTGCGAGTCAGAAACATATGGCTACAGCGGGAAAAACATTAGATAGAATGCCTACGGAAACTACAGCACGTATAGATCAATGAATCCAAACATAGAAGAAAAGGAAGGGAAAGGAACATTATAGAAACAAAAGGACAAGGAAAGGGAAGCGGATAAGATCGGAAAAGAGACAAGGGCACTCCAGGTTCCCTGCAGGTCAGAAATATGGCTACAGTGGAAAAACAACGGATAGAATGCCCCCCGGAAACTACAGCAGATATAGATCAATAAAAAAGATATAGAAGAAAAGGAAGGGCAAGGAACAATATAGAAGAAAAGGAGGAAGCATTCTAACTGTATTTCGCCTGTAAAATACCAGTCAAAACTTACATTTTCTTACCAATTTTGGCGCCGCATTCTAACTGTGTTTCTGCATATTTACAGGTGTTTCCTCAGTTAGAATGCGACTGCCGTGGGGGGGGGGCCAAACGGGCCACCATCACGCGAAGCCAAAACCGCATTCTAACTTTGTTTTTAACGGTATAAGTATATAAATTGCCATATTGGGTTGTCAAAATCTCGAATAAACAACTTAACCAATCAACCATCACTCATCAATTATAGACATATTTTCGCTAGTTGAAACCCTATAAATATCGAATAACTCGTCAGGATAACTCAAGGTTGAATCCATATTTCACGGTTCAAAAACACCGAAAATCAAGGTTTGATCACCATGTTTATGTCCAAAATAACTATAAATCAAGGTCAAATCCATATTTCATGGTTATATAAACACATATAAAAACGATAAATCACCACGATAAATCACCATTTTAGAGTTCATTAAAGCCCCAGGATCTCAAGGTGAACCAAAAATCCCCAGGATCCCCAGGATCCGCTGCCCCGACTGCCGGCTGTCGTGCCTAGGACTTCGATCTTGAAACTCTCCCCCTGACCTGGTCGACTGGATTTTTCACCGAAAACTTGATCTGGTTGTTGGTTGACCTACCATTGTGGTTAATATATGATGGTTAATGATGATGGTTCATGATGATGGTTATGATGATGGTTAATGATGATGGTTAATTAATGGATTATCATCTAATAGCTATGGTTAATATACTGTTAATGATGATGGTTAATGATGATGGTTGATGATGGTTAGTAATAATTCTGGTTGGTGGTTGAGGTATACCTACCCCTCTGAAAAATGATGGAGTGAAAGTCAGTTGGGATGATGACATTTCCAATATATGGAAAATTCAAAAAATGTTCCAAACCACCAACCAGCTTTATTGGTGTGCTTGGTCCGTAGATGGAACCACTATTTGAACATAATTTAAGTCTGATTCCCCCATGAACCCTATGGGCTAAGGATCAGTACGAAAGTAATGCCAAGTGGAAAATCCATGGGATTTCAGCATCACAAATGGTGGTTCACCACTGGGGATGTGGATCCAAGCATCAAACATGGTGGTTCCCATGGCGCTTTGAAACCGTGGTTCCAAGTGGTGATTCGTTGGGACTCAACGGCTGGATGATGGCTGGATGATGGCTGGTCCCTGAGGCCCGGGACATAAATCAGCATAAACTTGACCTCAGCGTCACGTTGCCGTTGCCAAGACGGACACATTTTCTTCGTTTTGGAAAGGTACTTTTCTAAAGATGAAATTTCAAAAGCAAAGAAACATCATAAAACAACTAAGATACTATTGTTGGATATTACAGAAACCATGGCATTTTTTTAAACATCGGCTACCATTTGCAAGTCGCAATGTCTGCGAAGCCTTGTTGGTATTGCCCCCTATGATTTGATGCCTATGACTGTGGCTATCCACCATTTTCAAAGAAACCCCCAAGTTTTTCCATAAGAATCTTCTTAGTAATCTTGGATTTCTCCATATTAAGATTCTTGGAGATTTTCAGAAAACCAACTTCTTCATGGCTATTTCCAACTAACTGACAATGTCAACTTGGGATTAATCCACTAGAAATTCAGAAAAAACGATATCTGGTTGGTGGTTTTTCGCCCTACCCCTCTGAAAAATATGAGTTCGTCAGTTAGGATGATGAAGTTCCCAACTGAATGGAAAGTCAGAATCCAGTCATGTTCCAGTCACCACCAACCAGTTATTCTTAGTTTATCAGAAACTCTGAATATCTTCCAGTCCTTCCCCAGACTTCCCCTGGCTTTTTTCGCCACGAAAGCCTTCGCAAAACCAAGGGACCATTGGCTCGTGTCCCAGCTCCGGGCGCGATGACGATGATCCGCTTTCGGGAGGGACGCTGCTTCGACCTCGAAGAGGTCAAGTCGGAGAACTGGGGAACAGGGGAATCCCTGGGAACCAATGGGAGGAAACTCAGCAAAAGCCTAGAAAAACATAGGAAAATCATAGGGGTCTCGGCAAAAAATAGAAAAATCATACATGATCAAACAAATATCAAACACATCTCAAAACCGTTGGTGCAAAAACACATGTTTCCAACTATCTATCCATCTTTTGGTTGCCAGAAGTCATAATACACAAAACTGGGAATGTTATCATGATTGGTCTATAATCAAATTTCCCATAAAAGTCATTAAAGTCCCATGTTATCCCATCAATCATTTGCAGCTTGCCCCTCGCCACTCGACTGCAGCTCAAGAGCTTCATTGCAGAGACTGCTGCCGAAGTCGGAGAAGCTACAGTTTTGACGGTGCGGGGCGCCTCGGTTGGAGAAAGTTCCGAGGCGAACTCCGAAATATTTGGAGGAGAAACTGGTTGGAGATAGAGATAAAACGACATTTTTTTCCCTCACAAATGGCTACTATTTACCTATGGTGTGGACCTGCCCTGATGTTTTTTGCAATCTTTTCCCAGCAAATACGATGTTTCCGGTAAACTTTGCCTTCAAGTTCAACCCATTCTGAAAATGGCGGGGAAATCGGGTAAATACGGTTCTACCAACAACTACAATAGGTGATTGTACCGTGATTGTACCTACAAGAACAAGGATTTACCACCAACAACATGACTGGACCAACAACATATGCTTGGGCTAGATTTATTAATCGAGGATCTCAACCTCCCCACATGGGCAATACGACCGCATGCCAAAAAAATGTGGCGACATGAACTGATACATATGGATATATTCAATGATTTATGCTTTTTTTTTTATGTGGTGCCCTTATCGTCTACACGAAATTGTGTGTGGATCATATATATATATACCTGGAACCTCGTGGGTTGCAAAATTTCTGTCCTCATCAGAAATGACAAAAATTTGTTTCACGTTCGTGGGGAAATGTCCCTTTCTTCAGAAATTGTCATTTCGCTGTGGCCACAGGTGCGGCCACTACCTTCACTTTGGCTCATTGTGTTTCAGCGTGCAATAAGAACGCCTCAAATATTTGCAAATATTTTGACATGCACTGGAATCCCAGGGGCCTGATCAAATACCAATCCTGAAAGCGGAGCCTTTTTTCTGTCATGCTCAAACATGCTCACAATACTCACAACTTTTCTAGACATGAGAGCGCAGTTGCACCATGTCAGGCCAGATCCTTAGAGGTATGGTGCCGGAATCGTCGATGCAAAGCTTTGCTTTTGATCAGAATGAGTTCCAAAGTTCTTTGGGAAGTTAATCGGCTTGAGACTTTTCTACTCAATCGGCACACCTTTCCGATCATGTCCTCATTCATGTCACATCCCCAAATCAGCAGGTTGAGGACATACTCTGTATTTTGATCTTGGAGCGCTTTGAAAATATCATATTTTGAATGGGCAACCATGTGGTATTTGGATTTCAATCCAAACGCAGTGAACTGAAATTGATTCAGCGACAAGAAGGCACAAGCATTGTACCCTTGCAAAAAATTGTGTACATTTTCGTACACTGCAGCAGCACAGCATCGGTTTAACCACAAACCATGTGAATAAATGATCCGAAGAAAAGCCCTGGCGGAAGAAGCTGTCTTGTTGATGTAGCGCAGTAGGTTGACATGCTGAGGACTCTTGGGGTCATTCAGCAGGCCCGCAGAAAGCACCTGAACCCAAGCCAAAAGATGACTTGTGTCTGACCCCTTACTGCTCGCCCATGCAAAGCTATCCCAAGTTGGAGCATTCAGGAAAGCAGCAGAAAATGAACGGAGGGCTGCAGTTCGCCCTGTTGTTTTGCAGAACCAATGAAAATGATTGTAAGCGCGCTCCAAAAGGATTTCTCGGCCATTCGACTGTCCAACTTCATGGAAATATTTCAATCTACACAAAATCATGATGGAAGAGCCCACAAAGTCTCTCAAAATTCCAACTTTTGTATTGTGGAAGATATCCCTGCGAAATACCCGTTCCACAGGCATGGAAGCTTCATCATTCACGGAATTGCTTTCAAAAGGAATCAGGCAAACAACTGGTATGACATCAAATGGTCTTTGCACAAACATTGTTGGCGCCCAGGTCGGTTGATGGCTGGCGTCCTCGAATGGAAGCTCGCGAACCCCAGCGAGGCACTCGTGGCACATGTGGGTGTCGGCAGCTAGCTGCTTGTTGAAGCAACGCTGAAAATTCCCTATCTTGTCAGCAAACCATTTAAGGTCACCTTTCAATCCAGTGATGCTGGCATACCACCGTTCTCCATTTGAAAGGGTGATTCCTTCCTCAAAAAGAGATATCAAGTCCCTAGTGCATTCCACCAAGATGTTGTTCAGCAAGTCTGACTCTTTCCTGGGAATCACTGCTATGACATACTTGGTCAAGAAACTGTGTTGCTTCATGTTGGTCGCTTGGTAAGAACATGGGCCCCCAGGAGGGGGGCATCCCCGTAGACCTGGAGCAATGCAGAACCTCTTGGCTGTATCGCTGGTGAGGTGGCAATCTCCACCTGAACATAGATTCCTTTTTCGTCTCATGTTGTTCGATGTATCGATTCCCAAACATGTTTCCAACATCAAAACAGTTGTGTTTGACTTCTTAAGGCCACGCCCTTCATCGCCATGCATAGCCATGCACAAGGTGTTGGAATAGGAACGATGTTCATGATGCTCAGTTACAAGCCGATGGGTGGGGTGCTCTTTGGCGTATGCTGTCCAAAAAGCTTTGAGGTGAGCCCGTCCTTCATCTTTGTGTTGACATCCTCCAAGAACCAGATCTGGTGCTTTTTCCAGAAGGAACTTAACCCAAGATTTGGGGCTCAAAAATGGAATTTTCATTGTAACACCATCCTCCAGGTGATCAGCATAGGACATTGGAACTTTCCACGCAAGCCCCCACTTACGAATGAAGGCATGGGCATCTCTGGATGCGTTCTGCTTGCATGTGGCCTTCGCTAGGCCTGGGTCCACCTCTTCTCGGGCAACCCCAGCAAAGTGGTGGAGTGTGGCAGCTGGGGCCTGAGAGGATTCGATGGGCATACAGTGAGGAAGTTCTGGGCATGCAAAAAAAACAGGTTACTACTGTGATTAGCCAAAAATTGGAATTGGGAATCTTGAGTCTTATATTTTTTGGGTTGGTACTAGGCTGGGGTACCTTAGGCCCTGGCTCCATCAGCTAAAACTTCAGCATAGTTGAAGGCGGAATCCCCTGGTTCTGGATCACGTGTTTTCTGGCCTGGCATCATTTTATTTTGGAAGTGCATAGGCATACCTTGGGTAAAGAGGTACAACATACATTTGGTGCTGGATGGTGCTGGAATGGTACTAGGCAGGCAACCCCTTTTTTTGAACCTTCGCGTTGTTCAATGATCTCCTCATGCAACATGTATTTGCACATGCTGACATTAATTTGCAAATCAAATCGATCTGCCATAACCCCATAGCTAAGTCCTTGGAAATCACAACCGCTTCACATGAAATTCTTTTTCAACATGGGAATGAACCGTATGACCTATGGAAATTCAGCGGCCGTGAATTTGGCAACCATTCGCTACGCACGCTTGTCTCTAGCAAACGTGAAGAGCACAAAAGAGCATATAGAACTCTAAAAAGTATGCCTTAGGCAATCAACGGCGAGTTCGCTTGTTCGGTGGCGATTCCTGCTCCTGCTTCGGCTTAGGCGCCCCTTTGGCCTTAGCCTTGCTAGCTGCTTTCGCCTTGACCTTGGCCTTTGCCTTAGGGGCCTTAGGGGCGGCCTTCGGTTTGGCCGATGCCACACCTTTTGGAGTGAATGGCCTGGCGCCAGACTTTGAGACTCAAGCAGGCGATGGTAGTGTCCCTGAAAAAAATGTGACTAATGACCGCAAGATGGAGGTGTTTAAATGGATTAACCTCATGTACTTCAATGGGGAAACAAAAAGCATTGGGTTATTCATGGTCCAGATTGCGAATTGCCTGGCCTGGCACGAACTTCCAAGCCCATCGAATCAGCCACCCTAAGCAGGAGTGATGCTCATGTTTTTTAGATTAAAAAATATGTGCACTAACACCAAGCACAGATAAACACCTGAGGACCCGTCTTCTGCGAAATCTTCTTGGACATATTTCGCAGTGCTTCTTCATCCCTTAAGTTGCAGGTGAAAGATCTAGATGGAAACAATAATGCACAAGGGGTCCCTTCAGTTTCCTATTGGAAATATTTGTTAATTAAGTGAGCTCTACATGATTCAGACCCTAGCTCTGGCTAGCAAGGGTAATATTCAATTAAGGTTCTCCTTTGAGTAGCCCTCAATCACGCCCTTGGTGTATGCAGCCGTCATTTCATTCTGCATCTGCTCCAAGGCCGTGATGGATCCCGACAACGCATGGCTGAGCCTGAGCCGCTTGGTGTGGAGAAGTGCAGGGGCCATACCAGGGCATCAGACAGCAAGAACCACCCTGAATAAAAACAATACCGAGATATGATGGTTAGCCTATCATTATGAAATGCCTAATGCATCATGATATAAAGAAGACTATATCAGTGTAGTGTATAGTGATATCATGAGAAGGAAAACTGTATGCTGTCAAACAACTTCTCTTGGATCTCATTGAGGGCTGGAGCTTGGTCGAATCGGGTCTTCACAGCTGCCACTTTAGCAATGCGCTTTGCCAAAGCCATCCTTACAGAGAAGACATTCGGTTTGTTCTGGTTTCAACCGAAAAATTGAATGAGATCTTTCAAACCAAGAATGGAAACATGGATACGGCGTGTTAAGCAAGCCCCCAGGATGATATGCATATAAGGGTCAGGAACCGTTGGACACCCGAACTGGGAAGTGCATCGGGATCCAACTCCGGAACCACCCCAATTTTCCTGTGAGCCCTTTCATCATCCCCATCGTCATCATCACTTTTCTCGAGATCCACCACATCACCTGAGTTCAAATGGACCAAACAAGGGCTGAAAGAGTTGACACCCAAGCTAAATTCACCAAATTGTCCTAAACCAAGTTTTTGATCATCCAATAAATGAGGTTTCAGGCTACATGTAAATTTATGCGCCATGTGCCACCAAAAAAGCCAACATTTGTGGATTAAAGAAAGGCAGGCTTGAAGTAATCGCTTCCCTGAATCCATTACTGACAAGATAGTCTATTTTTCCCCACCTGCCAGGTGAGGTTGTTAGATTTTATCACAGTTGTTCTCCTCCTCCGCCTCCTCCTCCTCATCCTCCACCTCTTTCTCCTCCTCCTCCCTCTCCTCCAGCTTCTCCTCCACCACCTTTGCATCCACTCCCATGTTCACTTCCGCCTTGCCAACTCTTCGCCAAGCTCTTCGCCAACTTCCGCACGCAGTGGGCACTGCTGGACCTCAACTGCAAGGGTCTGAACGCACTGGACACCGCTGGACCTCAACCTGGGACCTTCCGAGCTCAGTGAGCACCGCTGGACCTCAACCTGGGACCCTCCGAGCTCAGTGAGCACCGCTGGACCTCAACCTGGGACCCTCCGAGCTCAGTGAGCACCGCTGGACCTCAACCTGGGACCCTCCGAGCTCAGTGAGCACCGCTGGACCTCAACGGTCAGATAGAATGTCAGAAGATATGCCAGATAAAGTGCCAGAATGTTTGCCAAATAGAATGCCAGAAGATATGCCAGATAGAATGCCAGAAAGAATGCCAGATAGAATGTCAGATAGAATGCCAGAAGGTATGCCAGATAAAGTGCCAGAATGTTTGCCAGATAGAACGCCAGAAGATTTGCCAGATAGAATGCCAGAAGATATGCCAGAAGATATGCCAGAAGATATGCCAGATAGAGTGCCAGAAGATATGCCAGAACATATGCCAGAAGATATGCCAGGTAGAATGCCAGAAGATATGCCAGAAATAATGCCAGAAGATATGCCAGATAGAATGTCAGAAGGTATGCCAGAAAGAATGCCAGATAGAATGCCAGAAGATATGCCAGATAAAATGCCAGAAGATTTGCCAGAACATATGCCAGAAGATTTGCCAGATAGACTGTCAGAAGATATGCCAGAAGATATGCCAGATAGAGTGCCAGAAGATATGCCAGAACATATTGCAGAAGATATGCCAGGTAGAATGCCAGAAGATCTGCCAGATAGAATGCCAGAAGATATGCCAGATAAAATGCCAGAAGATATGTCAGATAGAATGCCAGAAAATTTGCCAGTAACAAAACGTATAGATGTCATGGTGGGGATAACTCGAAGTAAAGTAATTTTTATTCTATATAATATATTGTGATATATTTAGTTTGTATTACTTCACAACTAGAGGAGGCATAGTTGGCCAAGTCTCCCTCAGGCTCGGTGGCGCCAGGCATACCATCATCCAGTGACAGACTCATGTTCTTCATGCCCCCCTTCTCATGGATACGGGCACGCTTCGTGATGTCAAGTCGGGATTCTTTCCTTAGTGCATGATAGCTACTGAGAGAATGGATTGGTAAATGAAGTTCGCCCTAGGCAGCGTGACCATGTATAAGTGCAATCATAGATCGATATATATATATACTATTTTTATTACTATATATTTGAAGAATATATTTGGTATTGAGATCGTGTGGTGGCTGATTTTGTGCCACTTGCCAAAATCAAATTCGGAGTTCATATATTCTGCAATCAAGTAACGCCTGGGTACCTTTGACAGAGGTTTCGACATAGTAGAGCATTGTTTTCTCATAGGGAACTCTCCTGATTGGGAAGGGAAGGGGATTTCACCCTGCTTGAGACTAAGAACCACCGTTGATCACCCACCTGCAGCTACTGTTGCCCGCCCGGTGCCTCAAAAGCTTCTGCGGCTGGGTCCGGCAATGCTTCTTCACAGCCGCGATTCGTCGCCTAGGATTGTGTTGAGTCAAGGCACCCATTTTTAGCCTTTTGGATTAGAACGTGTTTCCTTAGTCACCTGAAAGCCGAACCCCGTGAATAAATGTTCTCATCCATTGGAAAGCTGTTGGTAAAATATTTGGAGATTGCTGGAAACAAATTAAAGTAGAGGTACTCTGAAAATCCCCATTCCTCCATCTTCTCAGTACTCACAAACTCGCCCTCCACCACCAACTTGCAAGACATCATCTCACTTCGTAGAACCTCCACTTCAGCGATGAAGGTCTCCTGAGAATGAACCCAGGAAGCTGTTGATGAATCAAGTTTGGGTTGGTAAAGAATGGTCCCAAGATACTACTGAACTAAAAAAGAAGTTTTTGAGGCGAATTGTAGGAGCACCCCTTCAGCAAACCCTTTCCTTTTGGAACTCAAGGTATAGGTGCATGTATGTTGCTCATTCGGTCATACCAACCCCACTGTTATCAATAAGGGAGATGGAAAATGATTTGCATCGACTATGTGTTGAAAACCAAGGATCCGGATCATACCCACATTGTTTGAAGATCTGCTCCAGCATTCTCTTTTTGGGGCCCTTGCTATGCCACTCATCCCAAATTTCATCACTCACCTTCTTGCTACCATCTCCACGTTTTGTGAAGATTCGCCTAGATCGGGAACGGATGGCTTCTGGGCTAATGTGGGCCTGTCCTAACACAGGTCTCGGGGCAAGAGCATCCGAGACATCTGGGATCTCATCCCACAAATCCTCAAATGGCTCTGCTGGGTGGTAAGACATTGTTCCATCACTGTTGACAACAGATCCTGGTGAGTAGCCGGGAGAAGCTCCATCCAAAAGGGCGAGGGACTTTGGTACTTCAGGGACATTGGCTTTTTCCGGCACTTCCCTACCCCCCTTTGAATCACCGTTCGATTTCATGGGAATGTCCACCCCATCAACTTCAGCATCACTGTCATTTTGATCCCTTTTTGGGGAAGGAAGGGTCCCTGGCACGGTCGCGGCTTCTGACATGGGGGTGGCTGCTTCAGCCTCTTGCTGCTCAGGCGGTGTGGTTGGCGGCTTCGGCCTTGGAATCTGTCTAAGGCACGCAGGGGTGGTACCTGTTGTGGAAGCTGGCGAAGACTGGCCCAAGTAGTTCTGCAGCACCTTGGGGAATTAAGGGAAGGAAATACGCAACATCATTAATCATCAATAAGTTTCTCATGAAGCTAGTTCGGACAGGAGAACAAAATAGTAGAATTGACCAATATTTTCTAGGGTCTGTGAGTTCCTCTTGCATCTCTTGTTCTGTCAACTCTTCATTCTTTAAGTGGCCGTAGTAGGAGTTGACACGGCCCAACCCCATTTGCAAACTTCCACATGACCAGGCTCTGCTCTGCAACCTGTTTGGTTCTGAACCAGCCATGGTGCCCCTGGGCACCCTTACTACTGATTGCCTTTACTAACCGCTTGAGAGGATGGGCATTCATGCTTAGAATTTAAAAATAAACCACGGCATGTTTCGCAACAACCCTCCGTGCAGGATCATGCAATCAAATGTTGCACGCTAGGTTGGGTCTGCACAAGATTGGATTCTTTCATCGCTGTCGATGGTTTTGTTCGTGATCAAAAGCAGCTGAAGCACACCAATTCAATGGCTTGCTGCTCCAAGTCCGAATTTCCATCTAATTTGGTGGCTGTGGTGGAGCACATGGGAGAAAACATGAACTTTCCCAGAGAAGTTACACAATATCATTGTTTTTAAGGTATGTGAAAAACTGATCATTTTGGCCGGTCGGGAAAAAGCGCCGTTTGGTCGGGAAAAAGCGCCGTTTGGTCGGGTAAAAGCGTCATTTTCAAAAATGTTTTTTTTCAAGACATTTTGTCAGCCCTAGCCCACAACCACCAGTCAATATAAACCCTGGTCAGATTCAACAGGGTCGAAACCTTCCCACATTTCATCGGGAAACAGAGGCCGAAACTCCGGTGGGATCTCAAGATCCTTTGCCCCCCTCAAATACCTCACTGAGTCCTTGATCTCTGCGACGGACCAGGTGGTGCAGGGACAAGCGAAGATCACATCGTGCAACTCCTCGGTGGGTACCTGGGCGGCGAGGCATCCCCAAAAAAAGCATCATCCACAGGCTAGGTACTGCTGTTTCTGGTTGTGGTTTTGAATTTGGGTCAAGTAACTGGTAAGTTCCATGGAGATGAATCCCGTTGCATAGATCTCACAGTTTGAACCACATGTCGGGCAAAGCGAGCTGGGTACTGCCTTGGTTGGGAGGCAACACAAAAGGAATATAAATTATTATATAAGCACAAACGTACTAACATACCATGATTTCGAGGACAATCATTTCTTCTCCAAAAAAACAACATATCTTTCATCCCTTGGTTGGAAAAGGAACACACTTGTAACCAAAACATTAGATAAGAGGCTGCGTAGATTTCAGTTTCTTGCTCCCCTTGTATCGTAGTTTCCCATTTGCATTCCTGTATCGGACAGTGGTAGCCACAGTGGTTCTTTGCATAGCTCGAACGAGTCTACCAGTTTGCAATCGGTTGACCCGGCAGCTGTTACTCACTAAAATGGTTCGTTTTGGACAAGGACCACCCATCAGCTGCATCCACATCATTGTTTTCCACAACTGCAGGGTGGCATGGTTTTCCCCCAAATTGAAGGTGTAACCCCACCACGTATACTTTAAGAACACATGCCGAATATATATATATATATATATATTTTCCCTTGTGCTTTCTTTCATAACCAACCCATTTGTTAAGGTCTCAAAACTTACCAGGCCTTGTTCCCAACCCTGGCCAAGATTTGGAATGCAGCTCTCACATACATGTAGTGGAAGAACAATGAAGACGCAGGCTGTTCTATCACGAACGTGCTGTCCATGGCCGCAATGAGTAAGGCTAACAGCCCAATCCTGTTTTGTCACAACAAAAATAGGCCCTCATAAAATACAAGTGTGAAATATCTTAGCCCGAAGATTGAAACAAACCCAACACAAGAATTACAATCCAACAATTTGGTGGTTGACCCTCTTTGCAAATTGAAAATTCTGCATCAGGATTCCCTGTCCTTGCTGCTGACTTATTGGCTTTTCTGTTTTGTAAGAAGGAAAGAAAACCTCCTGGGCAAATCACACTCCGACCAGATGTCCCCACATTAATGCTGATCCAAGTGGAACATACTGGAGCCATCCAAACGACTGCCCGGCCAAAGGCTGATTGGAAGAGGAGGAGCACAGAAAGCCTGAGCTGCAGGCAAGGCATCACAGAATGTTGCAGGGGGTGAAGGAAGACAATAGTAAAAAGATTCAATTGAGGGGCGCGAAGCCGCTTTCACCGTTGAAGTCCATGTAGCTTCTATGGGGGAAGGTATGCTTGCTGGTTTTCTTTCGGTTGTTGAAGCCCTTGTCATTCTCCAAATCAAAAGATGCCACAGGATAACCACACTTCGCTGCCAAACGTGACAGCCTAGCCTTTCCCGAGAAAAACTCCAGTACTTGCCAAGTGTGCTTTCCACGAAAAGCTCCTTGAGCGAGGAAGGCACAAAGGAGGCATAGTAAAACGAAGTCCTTGGATACTAAGCACCAGCCCCGCCAGTCAGAAAGTTGAGCGGGTGCTATACCTGTAGTGGGAATCTTTCTCTGATTTATTGCCCAAATGCTGATGATCACCCCAAGCCTGTATCTTTATTGACTTGGTTTGCTATAACAGGTTTGGAGGTGATTTCGCGCAATCAGAAAACAAGTCTCTTTCGGAGCACCCATGGCCACAAGCCGGCGCAGTACCAAATCCATTTCATCGGGTGTCATGGCAGACAAGAGGCAACAACTCAAGTTACCACCTAAAGTTTGATCCTGGAGATTCACCAAATGTAAACTTCCGGTTTGCCAAAGTGAGTGACACCTCGAAAATTTCAATTTCTGCCTTTGCCATTAGTTATTTTCTTTTCCGAATCCAGCCATGCTGGGGCCGCAAGCGTGCCAGGAAGGCCTTTGAGATAAAAGCCTCGCTCTATGAGGAAGGCTGGTGGCCCTCCGCGTCTCGGCATGGAAGTACCTGCCGAGATGCATGCATTACCAGCAGTGAGTGGAGAAGCTAATATCTCATGTAAAAGGGAATGTTCTGAAGGAAAAGCCAAGTTGACATCATATTTGATAGATACACGCTGCAGGTATACAGTATATAATGTGATACAACGTGGCAATGCTTGAGAAACTCAACCCTCAAAATCTTAACTGATGGTATTTTCTCACATTCCACATTGTGGCAAGCGGCTAGATGCACACTCTACTGCTCCAGTCCCGGCACAATTGGCAGGATGATGCCGTCGCCCCAAGCCATGTGAACATTTATTTTTTTGGTGTTATGGTACCCGTTCTATGTTTGAATTGGACAGACTTAAAAACAACTATATACACATCATTAAAGGGTCTCAGGCCTAACACCCTGATCGCAGTTTGGTCTGCCAGGTTCGTAAACCCAAAAGCATATGATATCCATAGAGCTACCATAAATTGGCACCCTCACACAAGCATTTCAGCTTGTGACAGCCCCGGCCAAACACGGTGTAGCTCAGCGAGCTCTCAAAAAGTACCCCATCATTTCACGTAGTCACCTGGGCGAAGGCTGAAGTGTGTCGTTTGGGGAGCAGGGAAAAATGGTTCAGAAAGCTAGCCCTTTTGGGTCCCCAAATCTTATCCCCAGCAAAAGCAAAATACTCATCCAGATCCAGAGCAGATCCAGTGACGGACATCGTCAAGTGCCAAAAACGGATTGACTTTGCTCAGGACCAACTCTTCGTCATTGCATTTGGCTTCCACGAGTGTGGTGAAAACGAAATTCCACCATTTCAACTGCAGGGAGTGCGGGTGATATTTGATCATCAAGACTTGCAAAACATCGGATACAGAAACGCTATGCTGGGCAGTTATTGCAGGCATCAGGGGGGCAAAACAAGTAGACTTTGGATTTTGGACCGGCCTCGCAAGAACTCACCGATCCAGTGAGCTTGCCTTCGACCTTCTCCTCGAACACCTTTCTAATGACGAGGAAGCGAGCACTGGCAATCCCATCACGGGATGGGCAGTACCTGCCTGCGAAGGTGGCCTTGCGCAGCACCTGCCCTTCCCCACCCAGAACTTCCATTCCTCCTTATTTAATTTAAGGAGTTTTTTTTTTAAGGAATTCCACCTTAATTAAGGAGGAATTCCCTTAATTAAGGAGGAATTTTTCCTTAATTAAGGAATTCCACCTTAATTAAGGAGGAATTCTCCTTAATTAAGGTGTTTTTTTTTGAAAATTCCTCCTTAATCTTTTTTTAAGGAGGATTTTTTTCACTGTTTTTAGATACATCTTTGACATCATCATTGCATCAAGACCAACCTTTGGAGGTTGCTTCAAGGAGATGCAAGATCTCCTTTTGGTGTTTTGATTTCCTGCATGTACTGTTTCTGCATCGCATCTGCAGTTGATTTCTCAAGATGAATAGAGCTAAGAACACTGCTTCTGTTCAAGACCTTTGCACATGTTTGAAAGCAGAGGTGGCTTGTTTGGATCCCAAGGAGTACTTGGATGTTGAAATTGATCAAGTTTGCAAGCATTATCGAAAATTTCTGGGCTTGATGTTCCAGAAAACAATTCGACCATCCAAAGACTGCTTGAAGGAAGCTGCCTTGAAAGTCAACCCTCGCACTTTGAGTGACGAAGCGAAGAAGTGGTCTTCTGCAATTGTCGAATGTGTGCAACACATCAGAACAAAAGCAAAATGGTCAATTTCAAGTAAGAAATATGAGCCTTGGATGGGTGAGCTTGTGAAGATCTATCTGGAGTGCTCAGAATTCCATGGGAACCGGCAGAAAGGCAAGTTTGTTCAGAAAGCCATTGCCAAGCGAAGGCTCATGAGACAAAGTTCCAATGCGAGCTCCATCCCACAGTTGCCTGTGAATGAACCACTTTTGCAAAAATTTCCTCCAGGCCACAGCTCAGAAACATGGGATAGCCAAGAGCATCAATTTATAGAAGTGTCGAGTGAAGAGAGCCAAGCGAGTCCTAAGAAGCCTGTGAGTGTTGGAACCTGGATCGATTCTACTGCCATGGTGGTATGTCGCTTTGTGGATAGCAAGGTGGAGAAAGCTACTATGAGTGAAGGACCAAATGGCTTCGCCATTGCTGCTTTTGGTGAAAACAAATTTGAATCTGAAATTCCCAATGAATCTTTGAAGATCTATAGGCAATCTGCAGGTGGGAAAAAGCCTGCTGCAGTCTTGGAAAGGCCTGCTGCAGTCTTGAAAGGGCCTGCTGCAGTCTTGAAAAGGCCTGCTGCAATCTTGAAAAAGCGTGCTGCATGTGAAGCAGTACTTGGCACTTCTGAAGAAGAGGATGTTGAAGCTCGGCCGGCTGTTGCTGTTGCTGATCCTGAACCTGCTGCTGTTGACTTGGCATCTCCTGAATATCGCTTGGAAGATTATCCTGCCAAAGGCAGTCGAAAGTATGGTGCTTTAGGTGTCAGACGAAATTTTGGAGACAAGAAACAAATCAAATCTTTCACTTTGAACAAAATTTCAAGAGAAGTTGGCTTGGATTTGGCCCAGAAATGCATTGCTGATTTGCACAATGGTGCTACTGAACAATCTGTGATTGAATTTTTGAATGAGGAAATTCGAAAGTGGAAGGTTGGACAGGATGTGGATTAGATTGGATGAAATTGCAAAAAAATGGCTGCTGATTTCTGTTGCATGTTTCAAGGAGGTGTAATATCTCCTGAGAGTTCTCAATAGGAAAATAGGAAATAGTCTTTCCACTTTTCTGTCTTAAGGAGGTGCAAGATCTCCTGACATTTGGAACTTGAGAGTTTACTGCCTGGGTGGATTTCAAAAATGGCTTATAGACTTTCATAGGATGTGGCTTTAATGTTTAATGTTGGATTGGAATTCTGGATTTGAGAAGTTTTGTCTGGAATTTGGAATGTTGAAATTGTTTGGCATGGCAATTGCAGTGTTGAGAATGGATTTTGCAACTGAAGCTGCTTTGGCTTTCTAGCTCCTGTTTCAGTGCTCGATATTTTTTCTTGCTGTTGCTATGGGAGCTGGACAATCAAGTTCCTCTCGCAGGAGGCCTGGAGATGAGGAGATTGACCGTGTTTTGGAGCTGATCAGGCTACAAAACCAGGTGATCCAGGCATTGACACCTCATGTCAATGCCCAATCGCAACCTCTACCACCTCCAAATACACCTCCTCCAGCACCTATTCCAGGTGCCCCTCCAAGTTCTCATGACCCTCCAGGTGCTTCTCCAATGCCCCTTCCAATGCCCCCTCCAAGTACCCCAGCGCCTGCCACCTCGCCTTCTACAAGCTACTTGAGAACATTTCCTGGATGAAGGAATGATCTACACAGGCTGGAGTTTTCTGTGACTGTGGATTTGAAAGCATCTCATGTCAACCATGCACTGTGCAATATGTTCATCATCATGCCTCCTGATCAGGTCCTGCTGTAACCCCATATTCTCCTACATCACCTATTGATGCTGGAGAGCAAGCCGAAAAATCAAAAGAGGATGAGGATTCAAATGTAGATTGAGTCAATTGAGCTTCCCTGGAAAAATGATTGGAGATTATGGGCGCAAGCGACTCTTTAAGGAGGTGCCAGATCTCCTTGATAAACTAAATTTAAATTTAAGTAAAACATGATATCTGTGATATGAGCATTTCTGCATGGCTGAAGCTGTCGAGTCATATTGATCAATGTAGTTGTGATGGACCTGTAGAATCATTTTTGAAGCCTTGATGGATGCACATGATCAGCTTTGGAATGATGATGAGAGCTGATGATCTGAACCTGAGGTATCACAATCATTGCACTAGTGTCCAATACTGGAATCAAAAAGGAGGTGCAAGATCTCCTTGGCCGAAGCTGATGCCCATCCATTTCCTTTGTTTGAGTGGCTCTTGGCAACTCTGGATACAATTCACTCAGGTCATGCATCATGACTGTAAAGGTTTCAAATTGGAAAAATAAGGAGGTTAAAATTGGTTAAGATTAAAATTGCCAATTTTAATTTTAACCAGTTTATGTATTACTTTTAAAGGCAGGATAGGTTAAAATTAAAATTGGCAATTTTAATTTTAACCAATTTTAACCTCCAATAAAAATCACTTTGGATCCAAAATAGAAACCATCGGATTTGGAACTGGAGATTCATAGACATCACAACTTACTTCATCATTACACTTTTCAGTTTTCAGTGAAAGGTTCAATGGAACCTCCAAAGGAACTGCCTCCATGGAGGAAGCAGCCACTGGCCACCATTGAGAAGAACCCTGTGGACCCAATGGACAAGCAGATCTCAGGCCAGGCTTTGGATGACAAGGGGGTCAGTAAGCCTTTGAAGCAGTTTCAGAATGTGTGCAACAGTCTGAATTCCTGCAAGAATGCCTGGGAGAAGGAGCTTGCCAAGGCCCAGGACCTGGCCTGTCGTTTGGAAATCAAAGGTGACCCAAGCTTCCATGCCAAAGGCAAAGGTCTTCAGACTTGGTGTCAAGAGCAGTTGAAAGCCATTGCCAACCTTCGATCCTATGTCGCAGCCAGTGAAGATCTTGCTCCTGAGGACACTTCTCCTGAAAGCCTTTCGAAATCATTGCCTGCTGCCAAAGCATGGCTTGCTTCCAGCCAAGAGAAGCTGCAAGAAGCAAAAGCCAAGGTGAAAACTCACCAGGCATTGCTGTAGGAGCTGTTTGGCCCTTAGATTTTGGAAAGCGCATTTGGTGCAGTTGTCAGTTTTGGAATGTGGAAATGCAGATTAAAATATCGCAGGGATCTGCTTGGAAGATGCGCAGCTGGTAACTGTCGCTGGAAAAAGAGCCTGCTTCTAAGCTGGTGTACAAGACTCAAGGAGGTGTAAGATCTCCTTTACTGTTTCCCTGTTTCAAAGCATTGGCCAAATTTAGCATTAACTAAATACAATGTGTAACTTCTTGTCTTCTGAGATCTTATGAACTTTTATGTTGACATGTTTTTCCAGCTCAAGCCATGTTTCACAAGAGAAAGGTAGATTTGTCTACCCTTAGGGAACCTGACCAGAAGAGGTTTCGACACAATGTGTCCAATTTGTTTTTGACCAAGACTGTCTCTGCTAGAAGAGCCAATGAGCTCATGAAAGATGCACAAATAGCTGGAGCCGCTGGTGTGAAAGATTTGGTCAAAGGTGCAGAGAAATCTGGCAGTGGTGAGAAGCAAGCCAATTGGGAAAAGAATTTGGCAAGGGATATGAAAAGAAAAATGTTGAAGAACTGCCTGTGGTTCAATGAATACATTGCATTGATCCCTTGCTACAATCCTGAAACACAAGCAGAAGAGATGAAGAAGATACCTTTTCTTTTGCCACATGAGATTCATTTTGTCTTCTCGAAGCGCTCTGAGAAGAAAGACTTGCTGCAGACTGGTGGCATGTGTGAACTCAGCAAAAAACATTTGGCGAACATGCAAATGCAGTTCCAAGTTCGAGAAGCCATAGGACTTGGCCTTTGGATCGATGGCACACCTTACAATTATGACAGAAGTCAAACTTTGGAATGCATCTCATTGAATTTTCCTGGCTTACTTCCACCTAATGGTACTTTGCGAATCCCTTTGTGCTGTATTCCAAAGCACTGGTGCATCAAGGGAGTAACTTTGTCGAAGATGTTAGGAATTTTGTCTTGGTCTTTTATTCACTTAGCCAATTGCACTTGGCCTTCAGCAAGGCATGATGGCAGCTTTTGGCACCCAGGCGACAAAAAACGAAGCACATTCAATGGCAAGGCATTGCCTTTCACTGCTTTTTTACTTGAAGTGAGAGGTGATTGGGCTATGAGAAAAGAAGTTTTCCAATTTCCTGGATGGCGAGACAAACAAGGATGCTGCCATTTGTGCTTGTGCAAACCAATTGAAATTCGAAACTTTGAAAGCTGCAAGGCATTTGATCCTTTGGACCATTTCACTTTGTTGCAATCCATTTCCAATTCTGGCATTGACATCAATGAATTGTTTCAAACACCAGGACTGACAAGCAAACAATTTCTTTTGGACTGGCTTCACATTGTGGACTTGGGCGTGGCAGCAGATTTTATGGGCAAGGTTTTTCACCATTTAATTGCCTCTGGAAATCACTTGCCTGGCAACAATGTCAAAGAAAGGGTGAAAAGCTTGTTCCACAGAATTCAAAGCTACTACAAGACTGAAGGTGTGGAAAACAGGCTTCCTACTTTGACAGTCCTCATGATCAGAAAGAAAGCCAGTTCAAGTCCAAAACTTCGAGCCAAAGCTGCAGAAGCTCGAGGGTTGATTACTCTTGCAAAACAAATCTGCGATGAATTTTTGGCTGATGACAATGTGTTTGAATATACAATCAAGATGGCTGCCACAGAACTGTGGCAATGTTATTCTTTCTTGTCCAAGAATCTATGGAATCACCAGTCAATGCTGCTGCCTGGCAGAAAGTTTTTGCTGTTGTGCAAGAGCTTGGAAAACGAGACTGACCATACTTGGAAGATCAAACCAAAGCACCACAGCTTCTTAGATTTATTGCTCCAGAACTCTTGTCCATCAGACAGTTGGACATATCGAGACGAAGACTTTGGTGGCTTCCTAGCTCACTTAGGAGCTGTGAAAGGTGGAAGCCACAACCCTTATTCCATAGGCATGAGTGTTCTGCAAAGTTTTCGAGCACAAGTGATTCCAGAGCTGAAGTGAAAAGTTTTGCTGCCAGGATCTGGGATAAGGAGGTTTCAAGTCTCCTGCTAAAGGAGGTGCAAGATCTCCTTGCAATTGAAAATTTAAGGAGGAATTTTAAGGAGGAATTTTTCAAAAATTCCACCTTAATTTAAGGAGGAATTTTAAGGAGGAATTCCTTAAATAAGGAGGAATTCCTTAAATAAGGAGGAATGGAAGTTCTGGGCACTGGGAACTTCCTTTGGCTCCTTCGCTTTGCGAGCAGCCTTGGTAACCTTGGGAACGTCAGGCATCTCCTCAGGCGCATCTGCTTTGCAAGCACCTTTTCGGGCCTTGCCATGTGTTTCGTTGCTCTCCTTGCGAACATCATCCTTCGTAGATGGCCTCTTTCGCTTGTCCGGCTTGTCCTTGGCAATGCCCTTGTGGGTGTCCACCGGGTCCTTCTGTGTGCGAAGCTTTGCAGACTTTTCCGCGGCAGCTTCAAAGTCACGTGCCAAATCCTTCCTGCATTCCTCACCATTTGTCTCCTCACCCTCGCTCTCCAGCACAGTCACAGTAGCATCAACTGGCGATGCCAATCTGGCTTGCTTTTGTCCCTTGGCAGGCTTGCGAGAAGCTGGCCTTTTGGCGATGCCACGTCCACGGCCTCGACCACGGCCTCGGCCCTTTGGTTCAGCGTCTCGTCCACGAGGAGCATCCCTTGCATCATCCATTCTCCTGGTCTTGTTCTTCTGGTTCTTGATAACTTGCTGATGCTCTCGGGTCACCATTGGGAGGTCTTTCAAGCCTTCCAAGTCTTTCTCCAAATTGCCGCCTTCTTCATGCTGGTCTTGACCTGTTTGGCTGGCACCTGTCTGTCTTGGCTTGGCCTTTGTCTTGCTTGCTGCTGGTTTGCCACTGCGCTTGGCAGCAGGCTTCTTGGCGTGGCTGGGCACCTCGGGGATGGTGGCTTTCGGAGTGGTTGGCTCATCCATTTTTCTCTTGTCCTCACCATCCTCTGTCTCCGACGGTGGGTCAGGCTGAGCGCATGGAACTTCTGTCTCAGCAACAGAGGGCACCACATCAAGCTCTGTCTCCGGGCGAGGCTGCGAATCTTGAAAGACAGGTGGCAGCGGATCAAGCTCTGTCTCTGGGCGAGGCTGCGAATCTTGAAAGACAGGTGGCAGCGGATCAAGCTCTGTCTCTGGGCGAGGCTGCGAATCATCGCAGACAGGTGGCAGAGCATCAAGCTCTGTCTCTGGACGAGGCTGCGAATCATCAAAGACGGGGGGCAAAGAATCAAGCTCTGTCTCTGGCCGAGGCTGCGAATCTTCCTCCAAGACTGTTGCGGTAAGAGGCTGAGAGTCTTCAACCTCAACGGGTTGGGAATCCTCACCAAGACTTGCCGTGGGCTCAACAGGAGCTGCTATCATGGGCTGGGAATCCTCAATAGCCGCTGCCATAGCCTCGGAATCTTCAACAGCTGCAACAGCGGCTGCCATGGGCTTGGAATCCGCCACAGCGGCTGCCATGGGCTGGGAATCGAGGAGAGAATCCTCTTCCTCCGGATCTTCACAGTCATAAAGGCCACGACCATCGATAGCATCACCGATCACATCACCCCAGTATGGCAAGGTTTCATCCGTGTCTTTGCCTACAGCGGGCATTTTTCGATTTGACGTATAAACCGTAAATAAGTAGAATCAAATCCCCGTTGACGTATACTAGTCTAGAAACCACCCCTTTGTACCAAGATTGGATGAATATAATATAATATTTATATAATTTATCATATAATATAGTATATTATAATAAATAGCGCAGTAGAAACCCAAAACTTGGAAGCCATTTGTTTCCCATGACCAGGCCACATGCCAGAGATTCTGAACCTGTGCCAACGGGCTCCATGTTCTCAGGTGATCGAGCTTCTTGATCTGCCAAAACCTTTTTGCTTTCCTCGAGTCGTTGCCTCAGCGAAGAGCGAAGAGGGGTTAGGAAAGAGCATCAAGCACAAAATCTATGTTAGGAAATATGGGGCAATCTATGTTGTATCAAAAAATAATTCATACTTTAAAACAAGGGGCCGGATTGCAGCCATCCGGGCTTCAAGCTTAGCACGGTCTACTGGGTGCAAATCAGCAGGGTTGGAAGGCAAGACCTCTCTCGGAAGGGGCGGTAGCAAAGCCTTTGCAGGCACTGGCGGTGGAGGCATCTCATCTTTCACACCTGTCCTCATGCGTCTCAGGCCTGTGGCAGGCTCTGCATGTGGCTCCACGGATCCACCAGGCCGGGCGGCTTGGGAACTGGAGGCGATCTCAACTACCACACACTCATCCTGATCAGCCTCCTCTTCATTGTTGATCTCAGCATTGACATTTGCATGAACTTGGGCACTGATTTGATCCCATGCCCAATACTTCTGGATGATGGCAAAGAAGGTATCCAGCCGACCATCCTAAGATTGAGCTGATTCCCAGAAATGCAACTAATTATATATTTGTTTTCTGGCAACCTTTGGGGCTAAGTATGGCTAAACCACAACAAATCATTTGGGAAAGGAACATGAACATCAAATAAGGGTCTCGAGAACTTTGTCCACTCATGAATCTGCGGAGTCCATAGTTGAACAGGATTTTGATGCCTTTGCCATCGATGTAAATTAACTGGTCATCATGGTCACGTCCAAGCTTCTGACGCAGGAGGGTCACCTGAATAGGGGAACTACATCCCAAACTAAACCATACTGGATGCCAGAGTTCAACTATCGCCCCGACGAAGGACATAAGGTTCAACCATAATAATTTTAGAGCATGTGTTATTCTTGACAGTATTACCCCACCTTAGCAGTGTCATAAAGTAACCATTTGAATACCTGCATGAGATATGAACATATACATATACATATATATATATATATTACGTAAAAAGGTAAATATAATTCCCCACCTGCCAGGTGAGGGTTGTTAGATTTTATCACAGTTGTTCTCCTCCTCTGGCGAAGAGCTTGGCGAAGAGTTGGCAAGGCGGAAGTGAACATGGGAGTGGATGCAAAGGTGGTGGAGGAGAAGCTGGAGGAGAGGGAGGAGGAGGAGGAGGTGGAGGATGAGGAGGAGGAGGCGCTGGACCTCAACTGCAAGGGTCTGAGCACACCGGGCACTGCTGGACCTCAACCTGGGAGCTCAGTGAGCACCGCTGGACCTGGGACCGTCCGAGCTCAGTGAGCACCGCTGGACCTCAACCTGGGACCCTCCGAGCTAAGTGAGCACCGCTGGACCTCAACGGCCAGATAGAATGCCAGAAGATATGCCAGATAGAACGCCAGATAGAATGTCAGAAAGAATGCCAGAAGATATGCCAGATAAAGTGCCAGAATGTTTGCCAGATAGAATGCCAGAAGATATGCCAGAAGGTATGCCAGATAGAATGTCAAATAGAATGCCAGAAGGTATGCCAAATAAAGTGCCAGAATGTTTGCCAGATAGAATGCCAGAAGATATGCCAGATAGAGTGCCAGAAGGTATGCCAGAACATATGCCAGAAGATATGCCAGGTAGAATGCCAGAAGATATGCCAGATAGAATGCCAGAAGATATGCCAGATAAAATGCCACAAGGTATGCCAGATAGAATGCCAGAAGGTATGCCAGATAGAATGTCAGATAGAATGCCAGAAGGTATGCCAGATAAAGTGCCAGAATGTTTGCCAGAACATATGCCAGAAGATTTGCCAGATAGAATGCCAATAGAATGTCAGAAGATATGCCAGAAGATATGCCAGATAGAGTGCCAGAAGATATGCCAGAACATATTGCAGAAGATATGCCAGGTAATGCCAGAAGATTTGCCAGATAGAATGCCAGAAGATATGTCAGATAGAATGCCAGAAGATTTGCCAGTAACAAAACGTATAGATGTCATGGTGGGGATAACTCGAAGTAAAGTAATTTTTATGTCCCTGAGCTGGCCTCGGCTCGGGCCGCATCTATGGTCAGAATCTTAACGTACTCGAAATTGGGACACCACCACTCAGCCACTGCCTCCAAAACTCGAGCGTTTAAGCCTAGGGCTTTGGCACTCTTCACATTGATGGCCTTGTCGTTAAGCCATTGGGTAAAGTATCCAGGGGCAACTAGGATCCTGGTTCGAACATCACTCATGTTTTCCAACACCTTTGCCAACTCTCCTTCTGGCGGAGGGACATTTCGAACAGCTGCTGGTTCCCCCATTGGTCAGGTTCAAACAGGATCTAGCAGGTTCCTTTCAAATCTTGGGGCCAAATGCCTTTTTACATGTAGTGGTTTCCCATGTGCCCAACCCCAATCCCAAACAAACTTCGGCAGCCATTGGGCGCACATCAAAATCGTCAGCTGGATTCCATCCCATGCTGCGCTCAGGTGGCCCCAGTCTGAAGCAGTCTGAAAGCGGCGTGGGCGCTTGCTAGGTGATGTTTCTGGATCAACTTTTTCTTCATGTTGGAATGGACAACTTTAAATTGATGCCACCTACTTTCAACAAAATTCTTTGTTGATCCGCTTGGGCCATGGTTCAATGGCTTCTGGTATGTTCCGGATGTCCTCAGAAAAGAATTGATTGCACCTGCTCAAGACCGGCACGGGGTGGAAGGAGAGGTTCAACACCACCAAAAATCAAAAGTGTTCCTACTTTGGAAAAATTGCCCTATTCCAAAAAAGCACTTTCTCTTGGAATGACTAAAATTTGGACCCCCTGGGAAGATCTAGGTATATGTATATATATATATATTAATATATATATATATATCATATCAAACATTAGAATGATATCAATATCAATATATCCTTAATATTCCTTAATATCTGGACATATATTCTCCAAAAAAATACAGACATCAAGACCTGGGGATGGAGATGTAGCGGATGCCAGCCACCAAAATCGCCGTGCTCGAGCAATCTGAAAATATGCTCAGTTCAGCTGATTTTAGTTACATACAACGTATTATATCATGTTATATCTATAGAATAGAATAGGAAACCTGGAAATTACTCCTTGGATCTTTTTGTGGATTACTTGTAAAACCCCCAAACGCAAACTTTGAGAAACATGAAGTACCAGCACACTAGTAAATCATGTGTTTGGATTTCTCATCTGGTTGGTGGTATACCTACCCCTCTGAAAAATATGAATTCGTCAGTTGGGATTATGAAATTCCCAACTGAATGGAAAGTCATAAAAGTCATGTTCCAAACCACCAACCAGTCATGTTCATCCTGGAAGTTACACCCAGACCCTCAAAATTGATCAAAATTTCAGTCGGTTAAATCCATGTTGTGTGGTGCGGCTCGTGATTCTTTGAGAAACCTGTCTATTTTGACTTCTTCAAACCGCGTTCTTGGAAATATAAACATAACAATAATTAAACATAAACCAGTATAAAAAACAATATATGAAACATAGTAAGAATAAGAATAACAATGCGACAATATCAATAATCCAATAATTCAAACCATGTTGATTTGATGCTTCACTTCCAGCTTCTTTTGTTTTGTTGGCCACAACGGCCACTTCAACGGCCAACCGGTTGGTGCCTGAGTGTCTTTTGCAAGACGTCGTTGTGCTAAGGCCACACGCACCTGGCGCGTTTCCTGTTTCGACGTTCCGGAAAACCAAGGAAAATACATAATGGCTGTGAATGTTTCTTTTCGTGATGAGTGATTATTATGGTGAATGATCATTGTTTCCTGTTCAAATATGGTTCTATGCTCGATTGTTATGGTTCTATTGCCGGTGTTTTTAGCGGGATACGGGCGATCATCATTGATCATGGCTACGAACTCCAACGCTGGACAACTTGTGATAGATTCCAATGGCTGATTCAAAACCATCAAACAACTGATCGTTTTCCAAATAATCTGTCATGGGAATCCGTATGAATCAACCAGTAAATGTGTTTACTCAGATATTTGATCGCCAAATAATTTGCCGATCATATCCAACTATATCCATCTATATCCAACTTCCGAGTTTTTAAGCGCTAAATGATACAGAATTAGATCATGAAAAAACAGGTTGTGTCTTTCGCTCGCTGAATTTCATCTGTTTCTCAACACTCATCTACTGGTTGGTTCATATAAGGAGTCCCATGACAGATGATCTAAAAAAACACAAAAAAACCCTCGCCAGTACTGACTGACTAACACTTCGCCATGGTTTTTCGATGGCCCATTTCGAAGTTCGTGAGTTTTCCCATGAAAAATGCTGGATCTTTGCATCGTTTTTTGGTTCACGTTTACCCAGTAGAATCATCTCCAGGGCCTGGTCGTCAGAACATCCTGTTGTTCGTGGCTGGGTTGATAATCCCAATATTTTTGAAGGGTTGGATTTAATCCCAAATAATCAAACAACTATCATTTATCAATATTTATCAAGATTTATCAATGATATCCATATATCCTTGATGGTTATTACATGTTAACACGCTATACAGATCTATAGAAGCATCAACAAACTAGCATTTATCACATGTTTTTTCTGGTTAACACATGTTAAAAGCCTATTAAATTATAGTACATCATGGTTAAGTCCATGATTACATCATGGTTAAGTCCATGATTACATCATTGTTTAGCCGCCACATGCCGTTCGCCAGGTGCGGCCACGTCAAATCCCGCGGTGTACCTTGTGGCTGGACCTCTCTTCATGTCTCTCGGGAAAGGCTTCCAGAGCCCTCAGAGACGTGCCACGTCTTGAGGCCAAGGATCGAGAAACCGTAGGGCCATCCATGGGGATTTTTATCAGAGACAAAAAAAATGCACTGAGGACAACTGAGGGACTCAACGAGTGGAACTTTATGAAGCAAACATGAATTAAATGAGCAACGGGGAATTAACATGAATTAAATAGAAATTTGACAGCAACAAAAATGCAGGCTGCGCAAGCAGCTATACCAGCTATGCTAAATGGTTTTTTCCGTACACCTGGCTGGAAAACATTGACTTTCAATAGGTAAGTCATGGATAGTCATGGTACATCAGCTGGTATCATTGGAGATTTTCCAGCCATGTTTGGTCACCGAAGCTACCAACCAACCAAGACATACCAAGACTGCAACTGAAAACAGGAATTAAGTCAGCAAAATTTGGGAATTGAGCTTCTAGATTGTCTGGAGGTATTTGTCTGGCGTCCGAAAATGTTGGGTTCGGTTCAATTACGTTCACTGGCTCATTCTTGTTGCCGCAAAAATTAACGCAGGAAAAAAACATCGAATCATATTCTACAAACTTGCACAGATGCAATAGATGGATATTAATTACAGATAATTGTAGATCATCCAGTAATTTCTGTGGTTTAAGAACAGAATTAAACACATTTTCTTAGGTTTAACAAGCTCCTGGGTCCGTCCTGGGTTTTTGAGACCAGACTAGACCCGAGACATGAAGCGAGCAGCTTGGCGATACCCGAGTAGATCGAGGAATATGCGGGCCTCGTTGGTCAAGGCGCCAAGGCAAATATTATAGGACTATACATACAGGATGGTGCCCCCCAGTTATGTTTGTTGGTTTATAAACCCCATTAACTAGTTCGTTATATCTGCCATAAACCATAGTGAAATGGGAGTTATTGGCACCAACTTAGCTAACTATGGGGCACCACCTTGTAGCAAACTTGGGGCGTGAGCTTCCAGTAATGAATTTCACCATAGTAATGTTGCATATTTCACCCAAGGGAAATAGATTTTTTTCTATACATAGCAAACTAAAACGCAAAATGGGATCTATTTCACCATAGTCATAGGGGGGTCCCATATCCAAAAATTGCCCCTGATAGGTTTCCATCACAAAGCAAATGAGTGTTGAATTGATCCTTGACCATCCTTGACCAGCTTTCTGGAGTGCCGGCATCCGAAAGCCTCAACAGTTTCAGTCAGTATCAAACGTGCAATATTCTCAAACTAGCTGGGAACACTTCGAATACAAAAAAGGTCCAGTTAGTGTTCAAGAATGACATCAATACATATCAAATAGCTTCAAAGGTAATTTTTCACGTAGCTATGGAAAAACACAATGTTTAATAGCTAAATCATCATAAGTTATCTATTAAAGGACCATATTTTCCATAGGTATCTTCGATCAAAAGGAAGAGGGCCAATCAGGCGATTCCTGGAAGTCTGGTACTGTAACCTTGTTGCAGTCCACGCCAACCGGACTGCAGTTCAGGCAGTCTCTGAATGAACATGAGGACATCGCATAACAATACACATCATGTATATTCATTCCTCTGGGTTTTACAACTATATAGTGTATATAGCTATGAACATGATATAATAATATACTGTAGTATGTAGTATTAATATAGTACTACGTGCATCTGGTTACTGTATCATATATTATCATATTATAATCGAAGGAAGTTTAGAAGTGAAACTTCCGACAATATGGACAGTTGAAAAGCAGAGGTGAGAAGAGTCAGAAGAGACAAGATCAGAAGAAAGAAGAGGTAGATGCGCGAAAAGATAGGAAAGTCGCGATTCACTGTGTTTTTCCAATGATTTGTGGCTCCGGAGGGTCGAAAAGTAGGCTCGCTAAAGCGGCGGGTGCGGAGCCAGCTGGCCAGATGAGACATGAAAAAGTGCACGCCGTTGTGGCGCGAAGCGCATTTCCAAGTCAAAATGGACAAAACACTAGAGGAGCGGACCACTTTTGGAAGTTGCGATGTCGAAAAAGTGCACGCCGTTGTGGCGCGAAGCACATTTCGAAGTCAAAATGCACAAAACACCTCAGGTCCGGACCACTTTTGGAAGTTGCGATGTCGAAAAAGTGCACGCCGTTGTGGCGCGAAGCAGATTTCCAAGTCAAAATGTACAAAACACACCACGTTCGGACCACTTTTGGAAGTTGCGAAAAAGTGCACGCCGTTGTGGCGCGAAGCAATTTCCAAGTCAAAATGTACAAAACACACCACGCACGATTGAAAAAGTGCACGCCGTTGTGGCCAAGCACATTTTGAAGTCAAAAGTGTTAAAAACTGACGGTCTCGGACCACTTTTGGAGGTTCAGATGTCGAAAAAGTGTCGAAAAAGTGCACGCCGTTGTGGCGCGAAGCACATTTCGAAGTCAAAAGTGTAAAAAACTGAGGGTTTTGAGCCTTTTTTGACGTGAAGATGTCGAAAAAGTAGACACTGATTAACTTAACTAACTTGACTAACTTAACTAACTTCACTAACTTCAACTACCAACAACTTCAACAACTTCAACACTTCAACAACAACAACAACAAACAACAACAACAACACCAACAACACCAACCACAACAACAACAACTACAACTACAACAAACAACAACTACACAACAACTACAACTACAACTAGAACTACAACTACAGCAGCTACAACAACAACAGCAACAACAACAACAACAACAGCAACAACAACAACAACACCAACCACAACAACTACAACTACAACTACAACTACACAACAACTACACTAGAACTAGAACTAGAACTACAACTACAACAACTACAGCTACTACAACAACAACTACAACTACAACTACAACAGCTACAACTACAACTACAACAGCAACTACAACAACTACAACTACAACTACAACTACAACAACACTACAACTACAACTACAACTACAACTACACTACACAACTACATCCACACAACAACTACAACTACAACAACTACAACTACAACTACAAAACAACTACAGCTACAACCATATGACTGCAACTACACTACACTAATTACATTACACCACAACTACAACTCCACTACGCTACAACTACAACTACACTTGCAGTACATCACACTACATCCAGCAGTTGTGGGTGAGGTGACCACTGCAACCATTACAACCATTCCAGCAAACACAACTCCAACCACCTTTCGGTCAATCAGTGGCTTCGCTCTGCCATCCCTGATTCACAACAACCAACTTCTCCTATAGGTTTCCTATTTTTGAAACTTCCGCCACCGCCTTGTGCGGTACTACTGGTATAAATCCTGCATCCTGATACTCCCTGTGGTTCTATTCCCGCGGCTTTCTTCCTCCAGCATTGTCGTCACTCCATTAAGCTCCCGGCAGCAGCGATGGCATAGCTGCGCTGCAGCTTCACTATGAAACTTGGAACTTTTGAAAGAAACAACAACCGCAACAGGTCCCGTTCTTTCCCGAGTCTTTGCCGTCATGTAAGTGCTTTTTCGAGGTGTTGGAATTCACATTTGATGTTTCTAACTTTTGAGCCGCTCCCCTGCACAACCCAGAACACGCATCTGAGATTCAGCACAGTACAGACATCACAAAACATGATTCACTGACAGTGCTGTCCACACTACAGCTCATGGCTCATGGATTCCAGATTGAGATCCGTTGATCATCATCCAAAGTCATAAACCTTTTTTGTTGTATAGATACTATTAACAATAAAAACACCTATAACATAACCATGATAATATGTGCTACTCTATGATATTCTATGGTGTCAGCTTGGGATCCATAGATATTTTAACCAATGAGTACCCGTTATTCTGATGCTTTCGCGACCAGTATCTATACCATTGATCTTCATTGAGAACCGAGGTTCGAAACCACTCACCAGCGACAAAAAGGACGCCTTTTAGTCATAAGTTGACTTAGTTTCACCCAAGGAAAACTGTTTGGCATCATATCCACCATTTTTATCACGTATTCTGGTTCTGTGTCTACCAACAGAAATCTATGAAAACACGCATCATGAAAATCCCATGAGATAAGAGTTGCATTGACTATAGTTACCAGCAATCATATTGTGAAGGGTATGTAATTGGCCATGGGTATGACTGCTTTGTAGTTTTGTAACTTTGGTTGACTTCATTTCCAAAAGCATTGTTTGACTCTGGTCTCTATATAAACATATAAACTATATACATATATAGTCATCTATCTATATATCTACCTATCTATCTATCTACCTACCTATCTACCTATCTAACTATCTACCTACATATCTACCTATCTACCTATCTAACTATCTACCTACATATCTACCTATCTACCTATCTACCTATCTACCAACCTATCCATCGATCCATCTATCGATCTATCGATCTACCTACCTACCTATCTATCTATCTATCTACCTGGCTGTCTGTCTGTCTGTCTGTCTAGCTATCGTCTGTCTATCTATCTATCTATCTTATCTTATCTTATCTACCTATCTATCTACCTACCTACCTACCTATCTATCCATCGATCCATTTATCGATCTATCCATCTATCCATCGATCGATCTATCGATCTATCGATCTATCGATCTACCTATCTACCTACCTACCTACCTATCTATCTATCTGTCTATCTGTCTATCTGTCTATCTGTCTGTCTATCTGTCTGTCTGCCTGTCTATCTATCTATCCATCTATCTATCTATCTATCTATCGTCTATCTTTCTATCTATCTATCTAATCTAATCTGATCTGATCTACTCTAATCTAATCTACCTATCTACCTACCTACCTACCTATCTATCTAATCTAATCTAATCTTATCTTATCTTATCTACGTATCTACCTATCTACCTACCTACCGACCTATCTATCTACCTATCTACCTATTTACCTATCTAATCTTATCTACCTATCTAATCTTATCTACATATATGGATGTACATACCACCAGAAACTCCGGGACTCCAAGGGCCCACGGCCCACCTATCCGTCCGTCCAACGTCTTTTCTGCACGGATCAGGGCCACTGCGCGGTGAAACACTGAGCTCACAGCGCCTGGCACAGCGCCGGGAAAGCTCCAAACTCAAACGCTTGGTCCGGTTGAGTGGTCTAATAATTATAGTGTGTGTATATATATAATATGTTAATTATATAGATTATAATTATTATTACTGCAATATAGTATAATTATATACTATATATATTATGTATATAATATGCATAGCGCCATAGTTGCAGCGGGATCCGGTAGCATATCCCAAGTTCTTGGCATGATTGCTGCAGCATGCTCAATATGAAACAAAGCTTGCCAGACATAAAAATCAAGAACTATTGTAAATCAAAGTGAGATATTTTCTGAGATTCAAAATCAGAAGAGAGTTGATAGATGTCATCTATGTGTTTTTTCTAATATGTTGGACTCGAAAATCTCACAGGTCACTCCACATTTCCGAGGCTGGCTGCCACTTTCTGCATATCAACTCCAAGTGAATGGACCATGCCCGACATACATTTTTTTTAACGGGTGATCCCCAAGTCACCATAGGTTTCAATCCTAAAATGGTATTTCCATTGTCTTTCGTGACTTGGATGATTTGGGGGTAGCCCCATGACAAACGGAAACCTCCATCAATGGCCATTTCAGGATCCTAGATTGGAGGTACCTACCATATATAAGGCCTATGTAAGGCCTATGTAAGGGAATATCCCCACAAAATATGGTGTATTTGGCTACGATCCAAGGGCTCATCCGGATTGCTGATTTGGGAAACCATCCCAGCCGATTCATCTGAAAATGGCCGTGCTTGCCATGTCTGAAAAAACCGGCGAAGCCACATCTTTGATTAACAGATCCCAACTTTCTTGGTGAATCAATCCAAATCAAGATAAATCCAGCTTTATAATATCTAAATATAGTTCAATCACATTACCCTCTGGTTATTTCACATAGCAAAACCCATCTAGAATCATTTACCTATGAAAATAATGGTGATTTTCCAGATTGCTGTTTATCATCGCAAATGGTAAATCCATGGTAACTTTCCACATCTTTGATGAATGGATTCCCCAACGCCGCGCCTCAGCCGCCCGCTTTTTGGTTGGCCATGAAGTCCTCCTCGTAGGTGGGGTTCCTCAATGGCGGAAGGGCCCCGCACGGACTAAGTTGGGGGGCCATAAAGGGACGATACTTCAGTTACGTGCCGTGGGTTTATCTTTCACTATGAATTAATATATGTTAATATAGAGTGAAAAAACAGTCAAAAAAAACGAACTAATAGTGAAATAGTTAATATATGTTAATTGGTGGTTGAGCCTACCCCTCTGAAAAATATGAGTTCGTCAGTTGGGATTATGACTTTCCCAATATATGCGAAAAAACGTGTTCCAAACCACCAACCATATGTTAATATAGTGAAAAATAGTGAATAAACTAATTATGTTAATGACCATATGTTTATTTCACTCATTTTTCGGCGATGCCAAAAGTGCCATGAGGAAACCTGAAAAACATGAGGAACACATCGAACTGCCATCCTGGAAACACTGCCATCGGCATCCTTTTAGGGGGTGCTAGAAACCATGTAAGCAATCCCCCCAGTTAAATGGCTTTATTTATTGACACCTTTTTGCCAACTATTTCAAACAGTTAACTATGAAATCCTACACTTGATTCAACAAAATACACACACATATATGTATGTATGTATATATCTATATAACAATATAGAACAATATGTATATATATATATATAAATGTTATATATATATATATAACCATTAATATATATATATATACATATTGTTATATATATATAACATATATATATAAAACATATATATTGTTATACATATATAACAATATGTATATATATATAGATAACAATATATATATAGCAATACACACACATATATATATGACAATATGTATATATATATGTTATCATGGCGCAACGAAACTCAGTAAATAGGACTGAGCCTGGTCAGTATGCCCCAGTTCCGCCAAGTTGCAACGAGATGAAACTCCCCTTCTCCTCACCGCCGGCCGCTTTGGCGCACCGCCGTGCAGCGAAGGTGGCGAAGAGGCCGGCCTTGAGAATGGTGGAAAACAGTGAATCGAACCATGAATTTTCACGAAAAATGATGATTGAACCATTGAGAATGGTGGAAAATGGTGAACAATGGTGAGAACTGCTGGTGATTATAATGATCATGATATTTTCCGGGACTAAGCATGATTCGCCAGCCAAAATGGTGAAAAAAACGGCAAAACTTGCAGCTGAGCCACTGCAGGAGCTTGTCCACCACCAGGTCTACCAGCTTGAAAAGTTGGCACCTGCGGAGATGTTCAACACGTTTCTTCTGGTTTTTGTGGTGGATTAATCTTAGAAACAAACAAAGTAATCACTCCAATTTTACCCTGGATCATGGTGGATTAATTTTAGGAAAACTATAGTAAACAATCCAGAAGAATCCAATGACTTACCATAAATGGCTCGGGATTCCAAGCATCAATGGCTAGATATGCATTGATTGTTGCGGGAAACTACGAGTAACATCGGAGGTTCCCTACTTGATGTGGATTCATGGGGATACATCATGGCGAAATCTCGCTAAAAATTGAGGCTTTCATGGGGAAATCGTCGCGCAATTTTCGGGGGATCTCTTCCATGGAAAATTCCATTGCCATGTCACTGATGACCAGAGGAAATATCCAAATGTTTGGGCTGATGGGGATGATACCGATGGATGATTCAATCATAGAAACACATTCTGGTTGGTGGTTGAGCCTACCGCTCTAAAAATAATGATGGAGTTCGTCAGTTGGGATGATGAAATTCCCAATATATCAATATATGGAAAAATAGAATTCATGTTCCAAACCACCGACCAGCATCCAATTATGTTGAGTATTGGGGTTTTGACCATTGCAAAAGAGAAATGGGTTGGTGTTTAATTCTCTTGCGTTGGCTAATAGTAAGATAGGGCAGCTAACCATCAAACTGGCGCGGTTGGAAAAACGAATGGGGCTGGGTGGAGTCATTGGGGTGCCTACTGGACACATAGAAATGGCTACCCCAAAAACGCTATCAACCCCAATAAGTACAAATATACATATAGATACAAATGTTCGACACATACTTTTGAACCATTCCCAAGATATGGTGCATGTTGTACGCCAAAACACAGGGCCGGACTAGAGACGAACCGCAGATATAGCGGGGGTTTTGACCAAACAGGATCTGGCGGATGTAAACAACAGCACTGGGAGCAACAACTAGCCGATCACCATTGTAGTTCAAACATATGTCTGGGTAAATTACAATAATTCACTCACCTATTTAATAAAATAAATGTTCGGCCATTTGGGGATGATTTCCCTTACTAACCATGATTATAGTGAACATGTATAATCTACCCAGATATGTGTACTGTACATGTCATCTAACTATTTTCAATGAAATATCTTCTGACCTCGATTGGCGGTCACAGAAACATAAACATTATGGTACTGGTTGGTGGTTTCAACCCTTCTGAAAAATATGAAAGTCAGTTGGAATGATTATTCCCAATAGATGGGAAAATAACATTCATGTTCCAAACCACCAACCAGTTATGGCAAGTCATTGGATTGTTATGAGACAGTCACTGGGTCTTTAAAATTTTGTCACTGAGTGATTCAGCTGACACCAGCAAGAGACTGAGCTGAAATGCTTAGCGGCTGGGTGTTAAACCGTTTCGCGTTCACTGCTGAGGCTAAGTTCCGAAACCTATTGCCATGGGCTCAGGTGGCTTGTTTCTCACAGGCCTCAAGTTGTATGAAACGCTACAAAGGCATTCCTACCACTATCACGCCCCCATTGTGGGTGTGAATGTGCTACCAAAGCAGAGCATCCGAGAAGAAGGGAACCAGTGACAATAATTGGGTTCTGATGAGTGTTGGCGGCCCACTTCCTAAGCAAGCTGCAAGCTTTGGAATGCCCTCATCTTGGTCGGCCAGCTGAACCGCTGAAGAATCTCAAAAGGACTCTGTGCCAACGCTGGAAGATGTGATTCACTGCAAAATTGCCGCGGCCTTCCTGTGACAGTCACCATCCAAGAGGTGAAGCCAGGGCAGCCAGGCCTGGAGATCCATCATGATCCATCTCCAGCATCGTTTGCCCGGCTCGATCAATGGCTGGTCGGCTCCGAGCTGGATCAAATGCCTGAACTTCTAGTGCTTCAATCAGCTGGCTTTGTTTCAACACAAAGCAACAACGAAAGATCATCGACAAGTGACTTTGTGTTCAGCCCCAACAACTATTTTTGTCATTTGATTTGGGCTGGATCATCTTACAAACGGTAGCCGGATCACTTTGGAACACAGTCTGATGCATCACTTTGGAACACAGCCATTTTCGCATCACTTTGGAACACAAAATGATACATATCATAAAAACAATGCCAACCACACAGACATGAGATTTACTGACAGGAACAATACTTTGGAAGCCTGGCGCGTTCCAAAGCGAGAGCAGGACCAAAAAAAGACCTCCTATGAGAAATAGTCGTTAGAACGATGTTACCAAGTGCCACGCCTGCCACGCAACATCAAGGTCGATGTTACCAAGTGCCACGCCTGCCACGCAACATGAAGGTCGATGTCAACAAGTGCCACGCCTGCCACAGAAAATGAAGTGCCACGCCTGCCACAGAAAATGAAAGTCAATGTCAAAAACTGCCACGCATGCCACTCAACATGGACGTCGATGTCGCCATGCCTGCCACGCAAAATGTACGTTGCCAATTCTGATAGTAACAAATGGTTCTATCCTTTAAGCTTGTGTTAGAATTTGTGTTATCCTGTGCCCATCCAGATAATACCAATGCTACTACCTTTTAGGCTTTTGGGGGGTGGGGGGGGGGGGGGGGTTTGGGTTCACCAATGTTGAGGCTTCAGGTTAGACTGTTTCGTATCATGTGCCAACCCAGATAATACCAATGGTTCTACCTTTTAGGCTTTTGGGGGGGTGGGGGGGGGCGGGTTAGGGTTCACGACTGTTGGTGGTTCAGGGTGTGAGAATGTTTCTCATCATGTGGCAATCCAGATAATAACAATGGTTCTACCTTTTAAGTTTTTGGAGGGGTGCGGAGGGGGTTAGGTTTCACGACTGTTGATGGTTCAGGCTGTTAGAATGTTTTTTCTCATGCGGTTCTTATCATGTGCAAAGAAAGAAAATAAAATGGTGCTACCATTTAGGCTTTTGGGGTGGGTGGGGGAAGGGGGGGTTTGGGCTCACGACTGTTAAGAAAAAAACAGGATCAGCACGCTGCACCTTTACGTAATGGTGATGGTGATGGTGATGATGATGATGATGAAGATGAAGATGATGCTGATGACGACAAAGAAGAAACATGATGATGATGATGATGATGATGATGCTGATGACGGCAAAGAAGAAACATGATGATGATGATGAAGATGATGATGATGATGATGGCGACGCTGATGTTGATGATAATGATGATGATGATGATGCTGATGACGATGACGATGCTGCTGATGATGATGATGATGAGGATGATGCTGATGACGACAAAGAAGAAACATGATGATGATGACCATGATGATGATGATGCTGATGATGATGCTGCTGATGATGATGATGATGATGGCGATGCTAATGCTGATGCTGATGATGCTGATGATGGTGATGGTGATGATGCTGGTGATTATGCTGCTGCTGATGATGATGATGATGGTGATGAGGATGCTGCTGATATATGGCCTTAAGCGGGAATGAAGATCATGATGATCAGGCGCATTCCAAAGCGACGCATGAGACCGCGTTCCAAAGCGATGCTTTTGAACGCGTTCCAAAGCGAGTACCTAACCCGGATTCGTCCTTAATTTTTGGCATATCCAATCGGCATATGGCAGTTCAAATGGACACTAATATGTTTTATTATGTTCGTTTATGTTCTAATCCATCTAGGAATCGCCGCTTTTTAAAACACATTAATAAACCAGCGGTCAATCATCCCTATCCTTAAGAAACGACCTTGGAACACAGCCTCCACGGCAGGCGTGAGGCATGCCAACGAACTGAGCTGCAGTTGCGATGGCAAGCGATTCCTGAAAATGGAGCATGCCCCAATTTGCGGCATGTCAAAAGGTGGGTTGAAAAATGTTGAATATGATGATTTTCGATTTGAAGAATCCTTTTGGGCCGCTCCACTTCACTTTGAAGCAATGAGATTTGGCATATTTTGTGGGTTCAAAGTTTGAGACAGGCCAGAGTCGACACCCTAAAAATCCAGTATTTCCAAAGTCCATGGTTTTATGATTGCTTCACCTATTTCAGTCGTCATTTTTTCATGGCCATGTTAAGGGATACAGAAAAAACCGCCGGCAGATCCAATCGGATTCTGAAACTCTCCCCAGTCCTTGTGTTCCTTGCGTTGTGGGAACTGTCCGTGGGCGCGGGAGCACCAAGCGCGCTGGGCGCGCCTGGGAAGTGATCCATCTGTGGTAAGTCCAATGTCATAATGTCACAAACCATCGCCAAAATCACAGTTTTATATGTTTTTATAGGTGGGAGGTCAACCATCCCCAGTCATGGTAAGTTTATGGACTTGGGTTTCCAACACTATTCGTTTTTGATGTATCCCTATTCACAGAAACCATCTGGTTTTTCTAGAGAGTGGACATGGGTTAAAAGAGTGTGATTGTACAATATCTTGAAACGCCTTGGAGTCTTGGAGTGATAACAACGATTGGGATGGGGGTCATGACACGACCTTTGTGTTTTTTTTATACTTTTGAAACGAATTGAACTTGGAACAAAACAAAGAGTT